TGATATCTAACGGCCAAAGCACATGAACGAGGCTTCAACCTGTGACCTATTACTCCGAAGTCAATCTACTTTAACGTCTAAATAGTCACTGTATAATATGTTATGATGGTGAATCTCATACTTCAATACAAACAACCTTCAAATCTATTTTTGTTTAAGACCAGTAATACAAAATTGAACACAATTTCACATAAGTAGCATTTTACAAAACAAAGTTTAAATGATCTATATTAATAGTTCGAATCATTGATCTTTATCCGCTTTTATCCTACTTGTACTCTGCTTAATAAACAAACTAATTTTTATGAATAGTTCTGAAAATATAATCGGTTAAAATTGATTTTTTCTACACTTATTTACAAAATGTTAGCCAACGTAAATGTGAGTATAGGGTATACTTACTTACGCCTGTTACTCCTCGTGAAGGAGCATAGGCCGCTCACCAGCATTCTCCATTCAACCCTGTCCTGGGCAATCCTTTCCAGTTGTAATTCATCCTTTTCATACCTGATTCCATTTCCCGACATAATGTGTTCTTTGATCTTCCTCTTTTCCGCTTTCCTTCAGGATTTCAAGTTAGGGCTTGCCTCGTGATGCGTTTTGATGATTTGCGTAATGTATAGGGTATGACAATTAATGAATGCATGATCAGTGGCTATTTGATTACATGACTTAGACAGAAGGTGGGGGGAACAACTAGTCATTAGATTTGTTATATTAAACCATATGCAGCTTAGCTGTCGAACTGAATTAAGATACGAGAGCTTGAATTCTAGTTAAGATGAATTCAAATGGTGTTTCGATGACTTGATAACATGGAAAACGCTCAAAGTTTTGTGTTTTTGGTGTTAAAAATGATCACCATGAGTTTTTAAACCAGTTGCTATACGTGTTGAGATATTTGAAGTTTCTAAGGTTAATCAAAGTAACGAATTCCATTAATACATACTAATGAGAATAGTATCTCTTAGCCTTCGTTTGTGTATAAACAAAAAAGCGCGCCTGATACCCAACATGGAGAAGCACAGAGTGCCCACCAGCATTCTTCATCCAAATCTGTCCTGAGTAATCCTTCCCAGTTTCTATTGATCATTTTGATGTCTGCTTCCAGTTCTCGGTGCAATGTGTTCTTTAGCTTTCCTCTTTTTCGTTTCCTTTCAGGATTCAAAGTTGGCACTTACCTCGTGATGCAGTTTGGTGATTTTCAAAGTATATGTCCTATCCACCTCCAAAGTCTTTTCCTAAATCCCTCTTCGACTGGAGGCTGGTTTGTTCTCTCCTATAGTAGGCTGTTGCTGATAGTATCTTGTGTAAACAACTGTTTATAAATACTAGTACGTTCTTGATGATGGTTGTATGGTTGTTATTCAAGTTTCAGTTTTGTGCAGTAGACCTGCCTTGACGTTCATATTGAATATTGTAACTTTGATATTGATTGTCAGTTGTTTTGAGTTCCACATGTTCTTCAACTGTAGGAATACTGTCCTTACTTTGCTAATCAGTACCCGCACATCTGCATCAGATCCTTCTTGTCCATCAATGATGCTGTCCAGATACGTGAAAGTTTCCATCTCTTCCAGAGATTCTTCATCAATTGTGATTGAGTTGGTGCTTTCAGTGTTGTATTTGAGAATCTTGATTTTTCCCTTGTGCATGTTCAGTCCTACTGGTGCAGGAACTGCTGCTACAGTGGTTGGTTTGACTTGTATTTGTTCGTGTGTATAAGTTAGAAAAGCTAGATCATCTGTGAAGTTCAAATTGTCTGGCTGCATCCAAGCTGTCAATTGTATTGTGTATAAATTGACGCCTATATTTTCATAATGACTGCGTACAATCTAAGGTTGTTTCTTCATCCTAAATTGGAATAAGTTAACGAATAAATTATTGAATGCTACCTAGTAACAGTAGATAGTTTTTCGTCCTAGTTTGAACTCCACAGTACTACACAACCACAAAAACTGCATGAAATCATTCATGACATTCACGATAACTTACGATCATTAAATATGAATACGATGGTACATCTATGATTTAACTACAATTAATATGAAAGGAAAACAGAAAACTTTCAAATATGTAATAGTCAGCAAAATGACGGAATAAATTACGAGACAATTGATCAATTATTCCAAATTACTGTGGTCGTGTGATGATTATTCACATAAATCCGGACCATCAACACAAACACACAATGAATGGATATCAGAAAACTGAGTAACTGGTTAGCAAAACAAGTCGTTTTATATCAAACAACGACTAACTTATCTACAAAATATTTCACCTAAAATAAACACAATTGAAATGTACGTAAAGCGTAACTGATTTGGATGTCGTGGGTTATTTATGAATCAAAAGATTCAAGGCCTTACAATCGGACGAAATTACCATCCCATTATATCAGAATCTTATACAGTGGTAGTTCTAATTCATTATGCTTTACACAACCATTAAAACAAACGGAACTCCATAAAATTAGCAGGTAAAATAAAGACAAGTCTTATCGTGTAGTGAACGAAGACCTGGGTAGAGTAAACCATTGTTGTATTAAGCAAAAGCATACACTGCATTTGTAAAATATGAAAACAATACATTGAACGTGTTATGTGCACATCTTCCTTGAATTGTCTCCTAAAAGTTCCATCGTTCTTTCATTCCTGTTGCTACTCAGACTGCTTCTGCTTTTCTTTCTCTTCTCCTGATGTTATTCTTCTGTCAGTAAGAATCCTTCTTTCAAATCTTGATACCAGACACCACAACTAGATGGCAAATGAACAGATAAATCCAAGACAATAAAATATACAAGATTTGGAGAGGAATATAATTTCGTTTACATTACTGTGACCAAATTCAAGTTGTTTTGAAGAGTTTAAGCAGTACGATTACAATATTATAGTGAAACGCAAATAAAATATTTATGCAGTATTAGTAAAATAAGCCAGTCATTACCAATGAATTGTCCGCTCGGAAAAATCTGTTTTCTCAAACCATTTTTCTTTCTTAATCGATCCAATGAATTACAACAATAGTAAGAAATTTAGCATGATATTGTGCTAACTTAACGATTAAAAATTAGGTGTGTTTTGCTCTCAATTGAGTTAACTTTAGAATTCGCTTGAGGTGTGTCTTAATTATAGTTTGTCCATTTTACCACGTATGTGAATAAATTGGCAATGAATGAATTGACCAAAACCATTTATGCTCTATCATAAAGCTTGATAAGAGATAAATAATTATGTTTCAAGAAACGATGAAGCCAATTAAAACAACAACAAATAGATGAAATAATGTTATGAGTCATTCTTAGTATTGTCTGATTCGGTCAAGACAAAGCCTGTTAACCAACTAGGTGTATACGAACCACAATTTTTTGTTGTCGAAATGAAGTTCACTATAGTTCTTATAATAGTGAAAAAAGTATTGTGCTTTGTTTCTTAAGAAATTAACATAATAGTTGCACTATGTTTGAAATGTAAGAACTGTTATTAGAACCGGTGTTAGGATGGACTAAGCTATTCAACTGTATCAAGATGAGGACACTTGAATCCTACTTAGATCAAGAGAACTCTAATTACATTTCATTAATATGATGGCATGTGGGATATTCAAAGCCACAAAACTTATTATGTAACCACGGTCAGGGTCAGCAATTCATTTCCTACTGAAAACCTAAACGCAATGTTAATCACTGAGTTACATCCCACTTCGTTCATCGATTTCATTATGTGCATCATATTCGATCCAAAGTGGTTGCACGTATAGATGAATAATTGGAACACTGTACGAACGTCAAGAAAAGAATATGGTAAACATCCATCTGTTTCTGTTAAATGTTAGAAAAACTTATTAAATCAATCTAAAAACATCCTATCTATTATTGTAGATAAGTAGTCACGTACATATCCACTGATCTGTTGAATCTTAATTACCTATGAGAAAATGTATAACTATCCTACTTTTTTTTCCGAAAATACTTCATAATTGCATTGAGACACCCTGGTATTATTAACTTTATTTCTGATATATCATAATTGGTACGCTTAAAATAAAATTCCTTCTCATTGTTCTTCTTACGTTTTATTCCTTAAATAAATATCTTCAGAAATTATAGTGTGATCAAAGAGCGCTCATGTAGCACACCATTATGATAAACTTCATTTTTTCCTTTATAATGTCTAGATTTCAACGAGGGATTAATTCAACTTAATTTGGGAGGATTTAAATTACCCTGTTGTTGATATTGTTTGTCAGTGTTAGTCAGCATTCACGTACCCTTACAAATTCATAAACATAGCATAGAATAGTGGTTAGTGGAATTCAGTAATGGAAATCATCAGACTGTTTCATAGAGTAAGCCATAAATTGGGAAAAAGAAAAGAGGCCGACGAAAAAAAAACATGTTGGGTCACAAACTGGAGGCAGACATCAAAAGAATCAATGGAACTTGACGACAGATGGAAAGGAGAACCTAGAACAGAGTAGCTCGGAGACTCCTAGTTGGCGACCAATGCTCCACTAGGGATAACAGGTGTGATTAAGGTAGTACCATAAACCTTCAAACACAAATAAAGCGACTTAAAGTGGAATACATCAATATGTATTTAGTGAATAATTTATATTAAATTACTACCAATTTTTAAAGCGATAAACTGAAGCTATACGTCAGAGGATTAGTTCTATCTATTTGAAGGAAAAACCAATTGATAAAATGTGTTGTTTGCATTTATAATTCAATATAATAAACAAAATAAGGTATTAAACCAAATAGATTCAATGCATGACATAATAAAGTATATTAAAATAACAACAGATCAAACTTGCAGATAACCTATGAAAATAAGGCGGTAATAAAAAAAATATAGGTGAGTACACATACAAATGGTACAGTACAAAATGCAATCAAATGAACAAAATACCATTATTATCAGACTAGAGAGGAGGGGAAGGGGAGTAGGAAGAAGAAGGAGGGTTAGTATTAGTATTATACAAATAACATATTTTTGTATATATATATATATATATATATATATATATATATATATATATATATATAATTACAATAAACTATTACAGGTTAAAGCAATTAACCACATGAAGACAAGTTTGATGAAAGACATTTGCAATAAACAAAATGATAACAATATTACAAGAAGTTATCATCAGTTTTCTTGAAGATAATTATTACCTATCCCTATTAGAATATATAAACTAATTATGGTATTGTAATTTTCCCATTAGAATATTGTAAATGTGTATTATGATTATTGTTTCGATTAGTTTTAGATGATTTCAATAAATTATTACGTTTATTTTCAATAGTTTCAATGATAAAATGACTAATTAATGAACAACTCATTAATATACTTAAACATAATACACTAATACTATGTACACATGAATATCGCCAAAATAATGCTTGATGATGAAGCATAGCAATTAATGCTGGCATTAATAATTGACCAAAAAATGTAGCTAATTGAATATGATATGAATTAGAAAAAAATAAATTTGTAGTTAAATGTATAGTCATTAATGTACCAGTATAAGAAGATGATAAACCAATACCAATACCAAAACAAAGACTTCCGATTAACCATGTTATATAAGGATGTGATAATGAATTCATGTTTAATAGGGATGATGATGATGATGTTGTGGAACATCTTCCAGTTGACATTGATAAATATGTTAATGCAATAGAACTAGTTACACAAATAGAACATCCACACAATTGTATGATAGTAATAATTATTGATGATTTTGTATTCCTAGAGACAGAATTTAAAAAAAGGAAAAACAAAATAGTAAACAAATGGTTACGTTTATTAAATATTTGGATAATGGGGGCTAGCAGTGTGAAATGTAGGATACTTATTTTGTTCTATTTCAAACTAGTCGGTTAGATGTACCTATATGTTAGTGTTAATTTTGATATTATCATCAAATAAAAACTGATCAAATTTAATCCTGAATATTAGCAACGGGAAAATGCAAAACTTTGGCACATATAAAACTTTTGGTGGAGTTGTGTTCTCTTAGCTGAGTTGTCTAATTGTAAAGATATCATCTTTCGAGATAGCGACATCAACAAAATCTTTAAATGCAAGTGAGGTATTTGAAATCTTTTCTCACATACTGTTATGACTTTAAGTTGTTGTAGATTTCTACCCTGTGTTATCGATCGATCACAATGACACGTAAACACGTACGGACGGCCTAGAGTCTCGATTGGTCCCACTTCCCTGTCTAGCCCAGTCAGTTGAGTCCAGAACACAAGTCACAACCTCTGAGATATGAATCACTATATTTCAAACATACTTTGTTTATATACCAGTCAAGAATACCACAGCGTACCATAAAAATAGAAAACAACATTTTGTACAAGTGAACAGATATCGACCAATAGGAAATGTCCATTTAAAGTCCAAGGACACCATTGGACTTAACATGATAATTATTGGTCTATTCCTGCGCATCCACAACACATACGAATGCTAGTTTGTCTTGTTAACCTTGCATCTGATTGGTTGTTACCATTTAGCATTGTCTGTAATCGAAAACATGTACATACTGGCGGGACAAATGTCGACAGTCAATAGAATTCAAGGTCAACAGAACTAGCTGCTATTCCCATGGGAAGGAGGAGATTCCAAATACTTTACTTTTATTTGAAGTTTTTTCTGGTGTTGTCGAGATAGGTGATGATAGCCCTAAGACTAAACCGCCCAACCCATGAAGCATAATCATTAACTTGAGCTAAAAATCTCACAATCCAATAATAATAATAACAATAATAATAATAATAATAACAATAATAATAATAATAGCAATAATAATAATAACATTAATAGCAATAATAATAATAATAATAATAATAATAATAATAATAATAATAATAATAGAAAGTGATTAGGCTTGTTTTACGAAGTACCTGGAGTTCAAAAGATTTATGTATTCCAGAATCTATATTTAGAGCCAGACGGATTCGTTCTTGATGAAAACAAAACTAATCGTTAGATTGCATTTCACTTTTTTTAACTATATTACAGAAACGAATTAGCTAACTAAACAATCATTTCCATTTTGTGTGTATTATACCTATCTACTGCTAAAGCCCCAATACAAGCAGATAAAATTGAATTTACGGAACATTCATTAGTAAAAAAAAACAATAACCATTAAATTGCAGCTCGATATAACTACGTTCCTGTCCAACCCTGTTCTGATTTGCGCACTAGTCAAGTGGAGTAAATTGTCCAAAAAATATTAAGCAATAATAGTAGCTGGGTCATATAAAGGGAGATTATAACAGACCAGTGAACTATCAGAAGTATGCATTAGGATGAATTTGACCAATGGTAATCATATCTAACTTCTCTGAACAAAGTACAAGAGAGGTTAAATACATAGGTACTGTTTATCACAACTTTAATGTGTGAATCAAGTATCACCATTTTCTCTGTATTCATCACAAGCTGTTTGTTTCTAGCTAAATGCCAATAGAGTATCATCACAGTTGTATTTAATTGTGAATGCTTACTTACACATCACCAACGGGATTCATTTAAGATAAACTATAGGAAGCAATATTTAGGTCATTTTTCGATATCTACTACCATTCACTAATTATAATTTAATATGAATGTATAAAATTATATGAAAATAACTTACTTTGCATAATTACGACGATGTTTTCTAGTTGAATATATACGCTTAGATAATAGCTGACTGTTTGAAATACCCGGTAAAGTATCTCGTAAATCTGGCCATTTTATATTGATTATCAATAAGCGAACTAAAAAGCCAACGAGATTACCAAGCCAAAACAAACTGGTCACAATTATTGCTAATGTCTTGTTAAAAGAAATAAATAAATTGGACTGAATGTACCGATACTTGATATAAAGTTACACGAACAATCATTTTGTTAATAAAATAAAGATATCAGTAGCCCAGTAACTATGTGCATATTGTGTATACATAATAATGAGTTTCACTAATTGGGTTTATATATGGGCTAAAAGTTTTTCGGCTATGTGGTCAGGATGGTTGAGTTGAATGCTTGCTTACACCATAGAGCTACAGTCGAATATGATTCAACCACCACAGATATACTTATTTAAGAGATGTCAAGTATATAAGCCTTTACCAGATAATGTAATAAGTTACATTACATATTATAATTTGTAGATGAAAACCAATTATAACCACACATCAACCAAGTACAGATTTGTATACTTGACTTTAAGCCATACTCAAAAATGTGAAAGCTAGTGATATCATCCGATTTTTCCAGACAAAAGTAGATGGAGTAGGGTTCAAACCTATCTTATCGCTTAATAACCAATATTTCGCCTTTATTGTATGTTCTTAACTAGTTTGTCAGTAGATAATTAATAATTTCAATAGTTATCCTGTTCAATTAATAATGATTTATGCTTTAGGAATAGTTTTAGGAGAACTTCCGAGATTAAATCAAATTCAAAAGGAATTAAAAATTAGTAGTCATGACAATTTTCTTCTCTTACGGAAGGGGGGATTGGTAAATGAATAAGGTTGGTAATTGTTAAAATGAATGAAAGACCATGACCGTTAACCAGAAGAACAAGTTTTTATACAATGAGATAACATTTATGTAAACAAATTATTCACAGAAAATAAATGAAATAGCTCTGTAGGCTACTCGGTTGTCAATACGTTATTATCTGACTGACAAGCTCAATTCTTGATCATTATATCATTTTGTGAAAGTATAAATGACGACATCTATAAAATGTTAACCATAGCATACTCATGTATATATAATCAAATGATATTCAACAAGCTTTCAGACCATTTGGGGGCCTCGAAACATATTTTAAATCTGAGGGCTAGTGATACCACTCAAACCGAAATAGGTGTACAAGGGTTGGGACCTAGAAGTTGGTGGTTGAAATTCAAACGATTTAATCATTAAACTACAGCTCATAGTATAAAACCTCTAATTGAATAAAAACAACGAATTTAATCTATATTTAAAATTTGTTTTAATCCCTATGCTAAGCCACATTAATGTGACAAATTGTCAATATAATATGACAATTTAAGACAGAAAGTTAATAATAGTTGACATACATGAAATAACATTAAATAGATTAAATAAAAAAGCGTGAATGTCAATGAGCAAACAACACAGGTACATGTAAGCAGAACTTTGATTCATACTTGACATATGAGGAATTAGAAATTATTGATTTACTTCCAGTAAATAGTCTAAACTGAGAGAAGTGAAATGAAGGTTACAAAATAATAAATCACTAGTTCAAATGGTGAATGTCTAACCCAACTACATACCATAGACATAGAGTTCATCGTTTGTGATGTACTACAAATTCGCTCTACATCTGTCACTTCAAAAAGCTTGTTTTACGTGCGCTCATCCGGGGACCCTGTGGCATCTTCGTCTGGTCTTGCTGGCGTTGGTGTCGCACTAAGCGCTAGAGCTGAGGCAGCACTAGTCGATTGGATCCCCATTAACAGTCGGTTATGTGCTGTTAGATTAGAAAGTTCCATCAAAGTGAGAAGAAATCGGCGTGAGAAACGATGTCTTTTCGTCATCTCCGCCTATGCCCCGACAGATTGCAGCCCGGATGCACTGGGTTTCTTCTGGTTCCTTACAATTCATTGAAGCCCGTCGGTCTACTCCGGGTGACCGTGAGTTTGACCATAAACGAAGGATGTTACGTAAGGAAAATGGGCAAAGCTTGCGTAAGGACCGAGAAGCCTGGTGGTCGAAGCGCGCTAATGAGCTGGAAGCAGCAGCTGCATCTGGTAACTACCGGAAGCTCTTCCAACTCATCCGAGCCACTGGCAGCAAGGAGTCTGGTGTGAGTGAAACAATCTGCGAGGATGATGGGATGCCAATCACTAACATCCATCGACGTCTTGGACGATGGGCAGAATTTTTCGAAGGGCAGTTCAACTGGCCTGCTGCTCCGGCAACATCGGTCAAACTGTCCTGCCCTCCATGGCCGGTGACGACTGATCCACCAAACGAGGAGGAAGTCCGCAAGGAACTCCAACTCTTGAAGCGTTACAAATCACCTGGCCCAGATGACTTACCTCCGGCTCTTTTTAAAGATGGTGGTGACTTTTCGACTAAGGAATTGACGACGTTGTTTACAAAGGTTTGGGAACTAGAGAGTGTACTAACGTCATGGAATGAGTCGATAGTTGTCCCTATCTTTAAAAAGGGTTCACGTCGTTCCTGCAACAACTATCGGGGGATAAGTCTACTTCCGTCATACTTCGTAGGTTGTTCAAAGCCCGAGAAAGATTGACTCGCGGGGAGCAGGCTGGGTTTCGTTCTGGTCGAGGATGTATTGATCATATCTTCACCCTCTGCCAAATGTTAGAACATCGCCATACTTATCTAAGGCCAACGATCGTAGTGTTTCTTGACATCAGGGCTGCCTTCGATTCGTTGGACAGGACTGTTCTCTGGGATTGTCTATTGAAGAAGGGTGTGCCTGAGAAGTTTATTAACATCCTAAAAGCCCTGTATAAAAACACCTCAGGCAGAGTGAGGGCATACAACCACCTCTCTCCATTGTTCCATTCGAGCAGTGGGGTTAGGCAGGGTTGCCCAATCTCACCATTCCTCTTCAACTTTGCCATCGATGACATTCTGGAAACAGCTCTGATGAATGTAAGTAATGGTGGTGTGGATCTGTTGCCTGGAGAAAGACTTCTCGACCTTGAGTATGCGGACGATATTGTCTTACTGTGAGATAATGCCCAAGGCATGCAATCCGCACTTAATCAGTTGGCAATCAGTGTCCGTAGGTATGGTATGTGCTTTGCACCTTCGAAGTGCAAAGTACTTCTACAAGACTGGCAGGATTCCAATCCTGTACTCACCCTGGATGGTGAGCAGATAGACGTAGTCGAGAAGTTCGTGTATCTGGGTAGCTGCATAAGTGCTGGTGGGGGTGTGAGTGATGAGATCAATGCACGAATAGTGAAAGCCAGAGCGGCTTATGCCAATCTGGGCCATCTTTGGCGCCTTCGTGATGTTAGTCTGGCTGTAAAAGGTCGGATCTACAACGCGTCGATGAGAGCAGTTTTGCTCTATGCTTGTGAAACCTGATCTCTCCGAGTTGAGGACGTTAGACGACTCTCTGTGTTCGATCATCGCTGTCTCCGAAGGATTGCTGACATTCAGTGGCAACACCATGTCAGTAATGCAGAGGCTCGGCATCGTGTGTTCGGGCACAGAGATGATAATTCAATTGGTGTTACCATCTTGAAACACCGACTTCGGTGGCTTGGACATGTTCTCCGAATGTCGTCCCAGAGAATTCCATGTCGTGCATTATTTGCCGACTCTGGGACTGGTTGGAAGAAGCGGAGAGGTGGTCAGTGTACGACATGGTGTCGTGGGATGAAAGAAAGCTGCAAAGGACTGGCTTCTGTTGGTCCTGCACGACTCCCTGATTGCGGTCTGAGAGATGGTGCTACACAGTGGCTAGAGACGTTATCAGATATGGCCCAGAATAGAAGCCAGTGGCGATCCTGCTGTAACCTTCTTTTACTTTCTTCATAAAAAGTGGTTGTCTCCCTTACCTGAAAGATTTCTTCCGATTATACCTTTGCGTTCTCTGATTACTAGCACATTACCTGACACCGATCTCTTCGTTATTGTTCTCTCTTTTTTTGTTGCGCTCCTTAGCTTTTTTTTCTTTCTTTGTATTCCTCTCGAATTTTCATTGTTTTGTGTGGCGCATATATATTGGCGCTCTCTTGTACTAATATTCATGTGTCCAAATAAATAAATAAATAATAACTACATACCATTAAACTTGAAACTCAATAACAAGTGTATTTCATACAAAATAATAATTATATAAATAGTTATATGAATAACATAAATACTTACTGGAGACCAAAGAAGATAACGGATAGTGAGACTAGCAACAAAGCCAGCATATGTTGTCTCCAAACCACTATTTAGAAACACAGATAATAACAGCCAAAAATTTGATGGCCATTGAATTCTTGGCCAATGAGTTTCAAATACAGAATAATCAGTCATAGAGGAGGTAATATCATCAACAACATTAGGATTTAATACTGTCATCGATTTCGACACTGAATAACCAGAAATATTATTTCCTGAAGATGATTTAATTAAGGAATTTTTCAGAACAACACCATCATCATTCAATTCAGAATCAGAATGACAGACTAGCTGTTCGTTGTTATCAATAAAATGACTTCGATTCCATAGTTCAACTGAATCCGACTCACTGTCGTCTTCATCTTATGTAAAAATAAAAAAGGTATAATATTCAATGGTGATTATTATCAGGATAATTATATAGATATTAGTCGTATATCTCACAACCAAAACACTGCAGTGTCTTCTGGAAAATGGCTCAGTCAGTTGTAATTAACGAAGAGCCTGGTAATAACTTGAGTCACCTCGGATCGCCACACCATATTGGTATGGTAAGAAAAAAATAACAGAATAAAGGAATTAGAGTACTGTAGTGAAAATGATAATGAGATAGACTAAAAATTGAGAATATGGTTTGATAAAAAGGAATGAAAACGGTATATATGAAGAAAAACTTGAATTCAAGATCTACAGTATGACAAGAAGTGAATATTCCTAGACTATTGTGACCGAATACAAGCAACATAACTGAAAGTCACTAACTGCTGATCGCGGTTATTGAACGGGCACCAAACAGATGATCTGAGTTTATCAACATGACTCAAACCAACAGTTAATGAACAGATACCATGTTTTGGTGAGCATAGACGTAAATCTTTACTAGCTATCTTTGATACTGTAAGCATGAATAAACTGCAGTTTCTAAAGTAAAAAACACGTTAAATCCCTCCTGGCTGTTTTTCTACATTTCAAGATAATGAATAGTTTGATATATTTATTTATTTGAACACATAAATATTGGTACAAGAGAGCGCCAATATATATGCGCCACACAAAACAATGGGAATTCGAAGAGAAGTAGAAAGAAAAAAAGAAAAAAAAACTAAGGAACGCAAAAGAAAAAGAGAGTAATGACGAAGAGGTACAATCAGAAGAAATCTTTCAGTTAAGTAAGATACAACCACTTTTATGAAGAAAGTAAAAGAAGGTTACAGCAGGATCGCCACTGGCTTCTATTCTGAGCCATATCTGATAACGTCTCTAGCCACTGTGTTGCACCATCTCTCGGACCCCAGCCAGGGAGTCGTGAAGGACCAACACAAGCCAGTCCTTTGCAGCTTTCTTTCATGCCACGACACCATGTCGTACACTGACCACCTCTCCGCTTCTTCCAACCAGTCCCAGAGTCGGCAAATAATGCACGACGTGGAATTCTCTGGGACGACATTCGGAGAACATGTCCAAGCCACCGAAGTCGGTGTTTCAAGATGGTGACACCAATTGCATTATCATCTCTGTGCCCGAACACACGATGCCGAACCTCTGCATTACTGACATGGTGTTGCCACTGAATGTCAGCAATCCTTCGGAGACAGTGATGATCGAACACAGAGAGTCGTCTAACGTCCTCAACTCGGAGAGGCCAGGTTTCACAAGCATAGAGCAAAACTGCTCTCACCGACGCGTTGTAGATCCGGCCTTTTACAGCCAGACTAACATCACGAAGGCGCCAAAGGTGGCCCAGATTGGCATAAGCCGCTCTGGCTTTCACTATTCGTGCATTGATCTCATCACTCACACCCCCACCAGCACTTATGTAGCTACCCAGATACACGAACTTCTCAACTACGTCTATCTGCTCACCATCCAGAGTGAGTACAGGACTAGAATCCTGCCAGTCTTGTAGAAGTACTTTGCACTTCGAAGGTGCAAAGCACATATCATACCTACGGACATTGATTGCCAACTGATTAAGTGCGGATTGCATGCCTTGGGCATTATCGCACAGTAAGACAATATCGTCCGCATACTCAAGGTCGAGAAGTCTTTCTCCAGGCAACAGATCCACACCACCATTACTTACATTCATCAGAGCTGTTTCCAGAATGTCATCGATGGCAAAGTTGAAGAGGAATGGTGAGATTGGGCAACCCTGCCTAACCCCACTGCTCGAATGGAACAATGGAGAGAGGTGGTTGTATGCCCTCACTCTGCCTGAGGTGTTTTTATACAGGGCTTTTAGGATGTTAATAAACTTCTCAGGCACACCCTTCTTCAATAGACAATCCCAGAGAACAGTCCTATCCAACGAATCGAAGGCAGCCCTGATGTCAAGAAACACTACGATTGTTGGCCTTTGAAAAGTATGGCGGTGTTCTAACATTTGGCGGAGGGTGAAGATATGATCAATACATCCTCGACCAGAACGAAACCCAGCCTGCTCCTCGCGAGTCAATCTTTCTCGGGTTTTGAACAACCTACGAAGAATGACGGAAGCCAATAGCTTGGACGCAATCGGAAGTAAACTTATCCCCCGATAGTTGTTACAAGAACGACGTGAACCCTTTTTAAAGATAGGGACAACTATCGACTCATTCCATGACGTTGGTACACTCTCTAGATCCCAAACCTTTGTAAACAACGTCGTCAATTCCTTAGTCAAAAAGTCACCACCATCTTTAAAAAGAGCCGGAGGTAAGTCATCTGGGCCAGGTGATTTGTAACGCTTCAAGAGTTGGAGTTCCTTGCGGACTTCCTCCTCATTTGGTGGATCAGTCGTCACCGGCCATGGAGGGCAGGACAGTCTGACCGATGTTACCGGAGCAGCAGGCCAGTTGAACTGCCCTTCGAAAAATTCTGCCCATCGTCCAAGACGTCGATGGATGTTAGTGATTGGCATCCCATCATCCTCGCAGATTGTTTCACTCACACCAGACTTCTTGCTGCCAGTGGCTCGGATGAGTTGGAAGAGCTTCCGGTAGTTACCAGATGCAGCTGCTGCTTCCAGCTCATTAGCACGCATCGACCACCAGGCTTCTCGGTCCTTACGCAAGCTTTGCCCGATTTCCTTACGTAAAAACCTTCGTTTATGGTCAAACTCACGGTTACCCGGAGTAGACCGACGGGCTTCAATGAGTTGTAAGGAACCAGAAGAAACCCAGTGCTTAAAAGCGGGACGTTTCGCAAACCCGCAACTGACTGTTCCCGCCATTTTCATGGCGTCATGCAATTGCAACCAATGCTCATCTATACTTTTCGGTGGAGTGGTAGCTAGCCTAGAGGCTAGCTCGGTTCGATACTTACTTGCAACAGAAGTTGCAACCAGCTTGCTAACATCAATCCGTTGATGGCGTTCACTTCGTTGTCCACTGAAAAGTAAGGCAAGATTGGCGCAGACCAAGGCATGGTCAGAGTCCAGATAGGTACTCCAAAAGGAGCGGCAGTCTTGTACACAACCACGCCAGCGGTAGCTGATCGCGATGTGATCAATCTGAGTCCAGGCTTGAGATGCAGAGGGAGGACGCCAGGTGGCACATCGGCGATGACTGTGCCGAAAGTTAGTGCTAGCCAGAAACAGGTTGTGGTCTGCGCAAAGTTGCAGTAGACGGTCCCCGTTATCTGACCTGCGACCAACGAGTCCCCATCGGCCACCTAAACGACTCTCTTCTGTGCCTAGACGCCCGACCTGAGCATTCAAGTCTCCGGCTAGTACTACAATATCTGTCGAACGCACTTTCTGGAGAAGAACTGATAACTGGTGGTAAAACTCATCCTTGATTGCATCCGGGCTGCAATCTGTCGGGGCATAGGCGGAGATGACGAAAAGACATCGTTTCTCACGCCGATTTCTTCTCACTTTGATGGAACTTTCTAATCTAACAGCACATAACCGACTGTTAATGGGGATCCAATCGACTAGTGCTGCCTCAGCTCTAGCGCTTAGTGCGACACCAACGCCAGCAAAACCAGACGAAGATGCCACAGGGTCCCCGGATAAGCGCACGTAAAACAAGCTTTTCGAAGCGACAGATGGAGATCGAATTTGTAGTACTTCGCCAGAGTCTTGAATACGGGTCTCGGATAGACAACACACGTCGATATTAAGACTTTCCAAAGACATAGCCAGCCCTATCTGTTGTCCGACCTGCATAAATGTGCGAACGTTGAAGGCAGCCAGTTTGAATGATGCACGTGGTTTCAGAAAATCTGCTTCAGTCCTCGTATTCGGTGGTAACATACAATTTTCAACCGGACAGTGACTCGAGAACGTTTAGATACAGTCGGAATTCCACCAAAGACGAGCCGCTGTATAAGTATAAAAGAAGGTGAATAATGTGGAAAATAATAATAATAATGATAATAATAACAATAATGACAATAATAGTAGTAATAATAATATTAGTATTAATAATGACAATAATTGAAGTGATCATAATTTGAATCAATTGATTGTTTTTCAAAGCGACAAAAGTAGTTTCCATAGACATAAACAGTTCATCATTTGTGTGTGGGCTGTGATACTGCCCGGGTGCCCAAACCGAAGCAGGTGGTTATCTTAGGGGGCCACTCCCCGAGCCTTTGACCTAAAGGTCTAACCCACAAGGCAGTGGAGCATCGTAAGGAGATGCAGTCCCATGGTAGCCGGTGACCAACGATTGGTTCATACGCCATTTGTTCCCGCAGGATACTGGAGCCCATGTGCACCATTGGTTTGGAATCCGGTTAAAGCGCCGGACATTCGCTTCTCGTCCTCTCATTTTCGTAAACAACACCCCCGCCACGAGAAGGCAATGAGTAGGACTTCCCTGGCAGAGGCTATATACGCGTGGCCGTGTGAGAGTATTTCGAGAGGGAGAGCGGACTCTCCCCACTCTCGGCCGTACCAGGGCATTCAGGGGGCCATATATATATATATATATATATATATATATATATATATATATATATATATACGGTGGTAGTAAAATCGAGATATCACTATCAAATTTTAGTCAGTATTAACATAAAAAATCAGGTTAACAGTTATGATCTGATAGTCATTTCACAAATATCTGAGTGTAATCTTCTAGACTACCTGATCCTCCAAGTAATCTTGATTTGAGACCTTCTTCAGAATGATTTTCATTACTTTCAGTATCTGATCGTTGCATCACACTTGGTGACGAGAGTTTGCCAGCGGAAATAAGCTCGAAATTATTATCATCTATGATCTGAAGATCAAAGTAACGAATAAATATCGATTCACACCAACTTGTTAATGGAATTGTCAACAGCCAAAGTATCATTGAAATAATACTTAGTAGTAGATAGACTTTCTGAACTGATTCTACTGGATGTTGAAACGGTAACAGATTATGAGATTTATCCAACGAGTGTTCAGCAATACGATGATGATGATATTTATGATTTGTTGAATTGATAACTACAATAATATCGTTTGACTGTAATACAGGTGGAAATTTACTGAATGTGAATTGAGTAGAAGAGTTATTAGTTATTAACCCTACTTCATCGGTAATATTATACATGCCAAGTATTACTTTATTCTTAGTTATTGGTTTAGACGCATTAGATATGTAAATATCTTTTGTTGAATTCACATTATTAATGAAAATTTCATTAGATTTATGATCTTTAACAATTTTAGAGTCATGTGGAAATCCTATTGAAACATTGTTCAAGTGAATTGAAAGATGGCTAGAGGAAGAATTTGTAGAAATTTTAGAGATAGCATCATTATTATTTGATTGTTTGGTAGAATTTAAATTCGTGATGTTCATTAACATAGTAGTAGTGGTAATAGTAGACTGGTTTTGGACTACAGGATTTTGAAGTTTATTTGGATTAACGACAGAGGTCAGTGATTTATGAGTAGATGGATCATCGTCTAATTCTTCAATTTGACGCTCTTCAGTAAGTTTCTTCATTTTAGAAGCTGCTTTACTACCATCCGCAGATGAACTATCTTGGTTCAAATGTTTAGCATCATTGACTGACGGCTTTTTCTTGATTGTAGGTTTGATAGTAACCGAAGAGTTCACTGTAATGTTATGTGATGTTTCATTTATATTGATTTCGTTTGTTGACGTAAAATTAGGTATGATTAGATTTAAATTGTGAGATTGATCAGTAGATATTTTATGATGATTAATGTCCATAGTGGTTTGAGGTGTTGTTTGCAGACCAAAATTAGATTTATTCAGTAGTGGGGTACTAACTGAAATTTGTCGAGGAATACGAATAAGTGGAGAAATTTCATTGTGTTTACTAATGCCAGTACTGCTACTCTCAACAGATTTAATGGGAATTACATTAGATACGTTTGAAATGAAGTTATGCTTATGTGACTGCTGTGGTTCATTCAGTGTAGTACTGGGATGAACATCTAATGGTGTAATGGCATTTAAATTTGGCTCAATAAATAAAATAAAATATGGAGTAAATACACAACCCAATAAGAAAACACTTGTTAAATATTGTGGCACAATGTGGAGTCGGTGTTTTACGTTCTCACGATGATAAACACATCCTGAAAAATGATAAATTACAAAATAAAAAAGTTTCAAAACTTAGTTTTAAATTACTTTTAAGGAAGATTTTTACATTCCACAGTCGCTATTTTAATAGATTAATTCATTGAAGGTGTACACAATTACAACATATTTAGGTAACGTCAAATTAGATAGTTGTTGTGACTTTATGTCCGACTAGTTATCAAGTGATTTATCCACCAATCAAAATACGACTTATACAGTCTTAGCACTGTGCCAAACCAATGACGTTCGAGCGATATGAGCAGCCTAGCGTCCTTACTGGTCATATGTCCGCCTACCCCGTCCACTTGAGTCCAGAACACCAATACCAGCTCCCACTATGCGAATCGAATCGAATTGAATCATTTATTTCAGATATACTGAGTTTATATATCAACTAAGCAAACCGCAACGCACTATAAAATAGGAAATAACATTTATGGACAATAAAGCCAAAAAAGTGACTGTGAACGTGAGAAGCAGTAGTCAATAAACTGAACATAGCTTACGAACAGTAAATTGTATAATAATAAATTACAGATCAAAATGAAGCTTATAATAAGAGGAATATAAATAAACATAATCTAATTATTGAATAGTTATATCATCAGAATGTATAGATAATATTAGTTAACTAATATGTCCCAGAAGTTACTCGTGATTTAATCTTCGCTCGGATATAACAATAGCCATTTCAGAGGCAACTATGAGTTTGATGACTGCAATCTATCTAATGTTCAGAGGTAAATTATTTCACTATGTGGCTTCGTGAATGTTTTAGTCACTCACTTTGATATTGGGTCAGTCACTTATTTTCCCACAGTAACAGGATAAACGGCATCTTTTGAGTTAGTTTTACTACTACGGGTTACAAATTTTGAATGATCAGGAACACGAATGAAATGTCAAGATGAAGAATAGAATGCTAATTGATGGATAATGAGAAGTAATACACTGTTCACAAGACTTAATTTACTGAAAATCAGTTCCCAAAATGAATGGCAATTAAAAATACTGGATAACTAATAAAGCAATGATAATTGCATTTTACATCCTATTTTTACAAACACAAGTATAAAGTGAACAAAAACTTCAAAAAACATTATATAAAGTGCAACTAATCAGCACAAACTGATATTTGAAGGTCATTGTGTAATCATTAAATTCACGATTATGAGTATCGATTAAACCGCCTTTTTCATGTTAGGTTTTCTCAATAAATTTTAAAAAATTATTAATTTAATCATTTTAAGTTTTTGATTGTGGAAATTCTGAGGATATATTTTTCTGCGCAACTTATGAAGTCTATGCTACATCCAAGGTGATGATCCTAAGTGCCTCCGGACCCTGACATTATTTCAGTCTTCGTATGGCGAGCTAGGCTATGAGATACTTTGGCGAAACGCCGACAAAAAAACCAATTTTAAGCTTGTAACTTAAACTTTGAGTCACAAGTTTTATGGGACAACCATTGGCACTAGTTGACCGTCTATATTGGAACAAAAGAACGAGGGTCACAACTCATACACCGGTGATTGAAAGTCATAGGCTTTCACCGGTCAGCAAAGTACAATAATAGTCATATGCTAAATTGAATCGTCAGTGCCGGGAACCAGTGAATAAGGTTTGTTTTGCTTTTGAACATGTCTACATCTGCTGGAAAAGTCGAAGGGTGAACTGTATTGGTGCAGTACATCGGCTAAGTGAGATTAAATGAAAGAACTACGATTTGATCCTACTTTAAAACTAACATTTCAGAGGAGTATAAACTATTAGAAAAATATTCGATCATATCTTACTTGTATATCTGCCATTCCAGATAACTAGAAAGTAATTATTATCAATTGTTTTCTAGCACTGCTATAACCATTTAAATACATTTTTAGAAACTTTTCAAATATACCCTTAGTTTCAATTGTAGATAGGATGTAATGGTTATTAAGCAAGATAAAATGTCAGCCGAAAAAAAGGTTCGTGTATATACTTTTGTTACCTTGCAAAGAAATTGTTACAAATAAACCTTGAAGAAAAAAAACTGCCAGCATCCACCAAAGATGTTTAACGAAAATAATAAGACCATTGGATATCACTAGGCCGAAAAGTCCAACACTTAGTAAATCATTTGGTTTAGTAGAACCTTCTGAATCCAGTAATAAACAGCTAACTATCCATCCACCAATACACCCAACGGCCCTCGACGTAAAAACAAGAGCTGTTTCATCCTCTCGTGAGCCAGCTAACTTTTCCAGATATAGAATACTTGGTCCTATGAGTCCTGTTGAAAGACCCTGAGGTAATAGTCAAAAAATAAGTAGGAAACTTACGACCAATAAGAAAACAAAAGTGAATATTGTTTTCCTCATACACTTGATGATTGTGCACCTATCCGGTACGGAATTTCGCCTTATCCTAGCTGTCCTAGACGACGGCATCAGTGGTAGTAGGTGAAAAAACCTTTGGAGTTTTTAAAATATTGTCGACTGATGGAAGGTAGTTCGAGTGTGCTGACAGAATCACGATCACGTAATCTGAATGGAGAGAGGGAGAAAAGTCTGAGTTATTACATCTGCCAAGAATATCTTTTTCGGAAATAGAGAAAAATGAACAAAAATAAGAAAATATGACTTGTCTTTTTTGAGGAAACAATTACATTCTTTATTTAGCCATGTCGTGTCCGAACTTTACACATATTGTTGTAAATCATACATCTTATTTTTTTTAATTTTAAGAAAACTATTCATACTACGTAGAGGAAATTCCGGATATTTTACACAAAAAGATGTAAATTGAGTTAAATATGTGTCTATGACATTTGTTATGAAGAAAGTTACAGCAGGGTCACCACTGGCCTCTGTTCTGAGCCGTATCTGATAACGTCTTAAGTCACTATGTTGCACTAGCCCCTGAATGCCCTGGTATGGCCGAGAGCGGGGTGGGTTCGCCCTCTCTCTCGAAATACTCTCACACGGCCACGCGTATACAGCCTCTGCCAGGGAAGTTCTACTCACTGCCTTCTCGTGGCGGGGGTGTTGTTTACGAAAATGAGAGGACGAAAAGCGAATGTCCGGCGCTTTAACCGGATTCCAAATCAATGGTGCACATGGGCACCAGTATCCTGCGGGAACAAATGGCGTATGAACCAATTGTTGGTCACCGGCTTCCATGGGACTGCATCTCCTTACGATGCTCCACTACCTTGTGGATCAGACTTTCAGGTCGAAGGCTCCGGGTGTGGCCCTCTAATAAAACCACCTGCTTCGGTTTGGGCACCCGGGCAGTATCACAGCCCTCACACATCGAATGAGATTTGTGTGGTGCATATGTATTTGGTGCCTTCTTGTACCAATATCTATGTGTTAAAATAAATAAAATTTTCTCCATGAACTCATTTTTTATATTACTTATACCGATTCTTTCCTACTACCCTAGGATTTGTCTTCATGATTTTATCGCTCTGTGGTGATGTGGTGGGGCAAACTGAGCCTATATAAAAGTGCCAGGTTTCGCTCGGTACATAAGTGACATTTTTGTGAGGGTGTAAGATATAATCTGTTTTATTGGTGAGTAGTTAGTCGGGTTTCGAGTCCAAAATCTAAAGACCAAATACCCTGGCCATAAAACAAATACCCTCATAAATATTTTGGGGATTCTTCATGGTATATGTCCCTCGGATTGTTGTAAAACTGAATTGTCTGTCGCTGTCGAAGATCTGACTATTTTTATGCCTAAAATTGCAATACTGAATAAGGCTATTTTTATGCCGAATGGGAAACCTTGACTTGCCAACTGTAGTAGATTGACGGTAAAAAAAATGTACAGATCAATCATTACTGTGATAAAGGGCTCATTGAAGCTAAATTGGGAAGTAATCGTCTGTGATTGATTAAAAAGTCATGACAACCGGTTACGACAACAGTCAGGCCAAGATCGGAGATTTATTTCTGAATTACTTGGGTACGAGCTCATGCTTTATTGAGGGTAGAAAAGGACTTCCACTCTTGAAAGCTGATTCAGTTGTATAGAAATGATAAATGAGGGCCTATCAAATAGCTGTTCGAATCGACTGACATAACGATGTCTATTTGTATATCTATTTTCAAGGGTCAGTGTTCTAGGTAGCATAGAATTAAGCAGTAATTCGGCAAAATGAAGACGACCTGACAAACTTATCACGAAACTTTAAATAATATATGAATCGACGTGCAGTTATAAACATATTAACCCAGGAGGGTGTAGTACTACACCACGAAGCTACTATAGTAGTTTCGTAAACCCAGTTAATCAAAAATAGCCAAGCAGATGTAGGCAATTGACTACGTGTAAATGTGCGAATCTCCATAGGGAAATTTTATCAATAAAAACACATTTTTAGCATCTGATAAAGCAGTTATGATAATCGAAGCGAGCGGGGAAGTTTTTATAAAAACTATAGTATAAATACTCTAGCATGATTTAGTATGTAAAATCGCTACTGAACAACGCATTTCAGAAAATAAAATTACTTAATTAGACTTTGAATAAGTTAAAGAGTCTAGAAAACTATCCAAAGGCACAGCATTTAGGACTTACCTGATACTATCCCTTCAAAAAATAACTGGAGCGTAGTACCTCGACATACGCGCCAACCTTGGCAACAATTTCGATCTTCAGTCCGTGAATTTGTAACGCAGAAGAAACTTTATGCACATCAAACGAGCAAATGTAGCTTACTTCTATTTCATTTTGGAAAGGGCGGGAGGCAAGGTGACCTGTGTTAGTCCCGGAAATTATGGTCTCTCAGATGATCCAACTTCCTTATGGAAACGTTGATAGATGGAGCTTCAGTCACATATTGAGGTAATGAATTCTATCTGTTGATGATTCGACAAGAAAGTCGATAGTCGTCTGACAAGTAATTTGTTTTGGGCTGGTGAAAGTTTCTCGACTTTCATCGTAAATCCTGTGGTTTGGGAGACTAGAAAAGTGAGGGAATATCAGATGCAAATTTATCACTAAATAATTTGGAAACTCTGGTTCTTCAGTGTGACGATGAAAATAGGTTTGGCTTAGCCAGTAGAACATCAAACGAGAGCCTCGCTATTCCGGGAATCAGCTTAGTTGTGGTCCTCTGAACCTTCTCCGAAAGCTCACTGTTTTTTTAAGCAGGGGCTAGTCCCTTGTATGCAGTACTCGAGCCTAGGACGCACGAGTACTGTACACAACGTCAAAAAGTTTTTAGCATCGACATGGCTAAAGGCTCTACGCATTGAATTCAGGGTTCTAAAGCTTTTGGCGACTATCTCATTGCACTGTACAGTAGTTTTTAGGTGTTGGCTAACAATGTGTGTCATTGTGTATCTGAACAACAAGTAGCTCAATGTAATTCACCATGTATGTATCTGTACCTTGATGATCAATATGCATTACAGCGCACTTAGAAGCATTAATCGGCAAATGCGAAGTTTGAGATCAGATAATTTCTCCAGGTTATTTTGGAGTACTCAGCTATTGCCTGTACTTCTTATCGTTCTCTATTTCTTGACATCGTCGGCATATAAGAAAATCGGTGGCGATATGAGATGAGAAAGATCACTCATTTACAAGAGGAATAACACTGATCCCAAAACTGTACCCTGATGCACTCTGCTATGCACAGTTTTTCGGCTAGAAACTTTGAGTTCAGTCATACTTTTTGTTTGCGTCTAACTAGGAGATTTTTTGTCCACATTGATAATATGCTCCTAATCCTCATAGTACTTAACTTATATAGCAGCACGTTTGTCAAACGTTTTCTTGAAGTCAGTGTAAGCTACGTCTATAGGTCACTTTTGGTTTTTAAGAGTGCACTAACTTTTGCGCGTTACCAATAGGTTAGTGAGACAGGAATAACCTGTTCTGAAGCCATGCTGTTTTTCAGAATGAGTCCCGTTCTCATCGAGTTTCGTGAACAGTTCATTCAGAATAATACCTTCTAAAATTTTAACAACCACGCTGATTGAGATAACAGGTCGATAGTTCTCAGGTTTCTGTTTCGTACCTGTTTTGAGTACAGGATTACTATGGCGTTCTTCCAGTCTTTCGCTAATCGACCTTGGGATACAAATAAATTAAAACATGCTTAAGGGATTCACGGAAACAGTCGCTAGTTCCTTTAGAAGCCAGTGATACATTCAATCGAGTTCCATGGATTTGTCTGTATTGATCTCATTTATCAGATCAGAAGAATCGTGTTCCTTAACGGTCACAGTGTCCAGTATGTGTGGGGGGTGTATGAACTGAGGGATGGTGTCTCTATGGTATATGTGTAGTGGCATTGAACAATAACCGCACAATCCACAAAGCTGAACACGAGACTACTCAGAAAATAGATATTCAATATTTAACGCGGATAAATACCTAACGATGGAGAAGGCGCGAAGAATGAATTGAACGGACTGGAGTTGATCGAGTGGCATGGCTCGGCCATGCAGGCGTGGTCTCTGCTGAATGTTACCTTATATCTTCTATTCGTATTAAATATATTGTTCTTTCTTTAGCCTAACCTTGTTCTACATCATGTATTGGTAATTGATACGATACAGTGAGTTGGTGTAGTCGATGGTGTGACTTCCACGTAAGACCTTATAGATTAGGCAGTTATATCATGACAAATCTACAAATTTAGGATTAGGCCTATTATTAGAGCAGTACTAATATCATAGTAGACCATAATTCTACATTGGTGAGCCCAACTAAAGAAACGCAACCTATTATTGTTAATCCTTATTTCCACCTTAACCTTCTCAGTCGGTTTTTATTTTTGTAAACCCAGTATTCTAATAGTCCTTTGATTAATGGTCACATATATTATCGTAATGTTATATCTATAAGTTCACATAACTTACTAGCTCAATCGATAATAAAAGTTGATCATCTATATCAACTAATTAGCTTTGATGGTTCGTTAACAAGCTTTAATAGCATTTACCTGCTTCAGTGACATAGACTTGTTTAAACATCAAGCTCTAGCAAATATGATCTGTTAATAGCATAAATATACATTGACTAACAATGCAATCAAGGATTGAATAGTTATCTGGATGTAATTCTTAGTGTTCCTTCGCTTAACACCTCATCCTGTTTTAAACTATTCACTATCCTGTAATATCTTTTCTTCCGACCACTGCCTGCCTAATTTCATATTCTCGAGTTCCATTGCCAAACAACAAGGATGACACTTCTCCAAAAAATACTTTGTTCTGATCAGAGCGAGTCCCAAATACCTCAACAGCATCAAGCACCCTGGAAGTGATTGCCATACTGCATGTTTTATTCTGGATGCTTTTGGAGCATTACTACTCACGAATGGCGTTATATATGTCGTCCACTGAATAATCTAATTTTCAAAAATAATCAAGGCGAGTTCAACTATTTTACTTAATGATTTTTTTTTACTTAACATCTATATGTTTTCCGGTTCCTTTTGCTATATATTTGTAAGTGTCCCTAGGCTAAATGCAGTAACTTCTTATGTAATGTTTATAACGCGCCATATTCCTGCCTGAAGTTTCATAAGCAGTCTTAACTTTAAAATTATTTTTCTGGTCATGTTCATTATTTTTAAATTTTTATATACGTCAACAACTTGCATGTTAACCTGGCCCGTACATACGTTTTATTTTATCTTCATATCTTTTGAATTTAGAAATCATCTGAATCGCCTTTAACATTTATCAATAAACCCATCATAGTCGTTGTTGCTAATCGTATTTGGGTTTATGGATTGATTTATCATATTAGCAGCCTAAAATGCGGACATAGTTTAGATAATTAGATTACAAAATTTAGGTACTATTAACTGCACTAGTAAAATAACTAAATCCCTAGGTGGTTGCTGGCTAAACAAACGTTTAAAATCAAAACTCCGTAGCCTACTAGAATTAACACTGAACGAATCTTTCTGAATTAAAATTTATAATTAAATTAGGCGTCTCGGATTCTTTAACGTTACAAATTTCTGATGATTTCGAATCACCTAAAGCAACAATACCTATTTTTCCACTGACTAATCCTCATTCAACACTATAACTAGTTAAACATAATAGTTTCAGGATATCGTCATAAAGCATTGTCATGACTTGACAATCACGTAATATGATTGATAAAATTAATTAAACTATTAACAAAATCGCTCAGCAAATTGACTTACAATTGTCACTAGTGTTGTTTTTCTTTTATCTTCATTCACTACAGATGATTACAGTATGTTTCTCTATCAGTTGCTTATTCAGCAAATATCTCAAAACCTTATCAGTCTAATTGGAGGTTTAGCGACACAATCATGCATGCAAATAATCAGTATAAGCAGTCGAGCAAATCTCCTGCAAACTGAAAACATCAATGTCGAATTTACCCCAACACTGACTAAGGTTCAAGCCATTATCATAGACATGAGTTGGGAGTGTACTCCCCTTGGTTACAACTTATGTTCTCCCTGATAATCACATGAGCATCACTCACGGTTAATCATCTTGTAAAAACTTACAGCACCACATAACTTAGTAATGTGACACAGGCTTAACTGATTTCAGTAACTTATAATCACCATATCTCATTTAAATCGTATTCTGCCCGCATACGTGCAACTAACTTGTATGCCCATCAGCCGGCAAGTATAAATATAAATAAATAGTCTATCGCAGATCAGAACATTGAGTCTAGAGCATGTCTCTTACGAACACACTCATGTTTAACGATTTTTCCTAGCTATCTGTCCAAAATCCATATAATTATCACTCATGTATTTAAATTTTATTTTGATAACCATTCATGTGTATTAGTAGTATTACTAAATTCTATCACGGTCAAGTAAAAATGAGGTTGAGAAAATCTCCCCGTAACTAAATAAACCGTATCAAACTAACTGGAACATTAGTTGGAATTCTTTTTCATGGTAATACTTTTGTTCTTCCAGTTAGCCTACTAATACAGATGCAATTGGAAATCACATATGGACGGGTTACCGGCATAATTGTTAATTGGTTTCATAATTTAAACCAAAACTAATACCAATATTAACATTTCTACAATATTCATTACTTGAATATTTCTAAACACAAAATACTTACTACCTATACGTTAAGTTATTAACCAACGGCTATTAACACGCATTGTTTTATTATTATTACTGCAATCCCATTTTTTATAGCTCAAATAATCTTCACCCAAATTGTCATTTTAAGTGTGTTAAGCATGAAGGCAGATTTTTTTTAAAAATTATTAAATGTATTTCCCGACCAGATGCTGCCGCCTTCCTTTTGATTTATCTTTCAGCTTATCATTACCCGGGGGATTTTTCCTAGTCTTGGTAACCTTCGGCGCACGACGATCCCATCCAATTCGGTATCGAACCAGCATCACGTTGATTCTGGTGGGAGAGTAGTGTAGTGGCATTGAACAATAACCGCACAATCCACAAAGCTGAACACGAGACTACTCAGAAAATAGATATTCAATATTTAACGCGGATAAATACCTAACGATGGAGAAGGCGCGAAGAATGAATTGAACGGACTGGAGTTGATCGAGTGGCATGGCTCGGCCATGCAGGCGTGGTCTCTGCTGAATGTTACCTTATATCTTCTATTCGTATTAAATATATTGTTCTTTCTTTAGCCTAACCTTGTTCTACATCATGTATTGGTAATTGATACGATACAGTGAGTTGGTGTAGTCGATGGTGTGACTTCCACGTAAGACCTTATAGATTAGGCAGTTATATCATGACAAATCTACAAAT